AATTTACATATGTGCGCATTCAAGTTACTAAATCACATCCTCGTCATTTACAACTACACACTTTTATATACATACATTTTACCAAATTAAACTCAATACGTTTCAGAAAAAACCTCTTCTTTGTTCGAAGTCATGAATTTTTGTCGGTTTAAATACAAAATATTTATAATTGGTTTATACATAATCTGTGTTCATGAGAATGCATGAGACCAGCTTGTCGCACACCTAAAATTAACATATGTGACGATAACTTCATGAGCGAGGAAAGCCTTATCAATCGTGCATAATGTTGAGTCAACACTGTTGACTCTTTTACAACTGGTACTACATACGAGCCTTGATAAAAATTATCTATGGCGAAATTCGTCCACAAAATGCACTCAAACTTTTTTGCATCTTCCTGCTCATGACCTCGGTCACTGCTTTACTTTCTCGGATTAAAATACGAATGCCTCATGAAATTCCATGCGTAGGAAAGTACCTGACCGTGCATGGGTGCATGGCGAAATTTTATTTAATGACGGAACGTCTCAGCCAGAACTAAAATTAGCATGCATTGTTCATATATTTATCATGAGGATTTTGACTCATCGGAAGTATTTCATGATACATTATGAAGTTTAACAATCGGATCTGGTCGATTTGTATAAAAAGCCATCGTCTCTTTCACTTAAAATCATTCCGAGATCCAAATCAATCCGAAAGCATCAAATTTCATTTAGATCCCCATTATTTCAAATTTCAATATTTTTGAGAAGTAAAATTTCAAACTATGCTTAACCATTCAACAAAAATTACAATTTCATAATATTTTTCACTTTCACTTTTTTCAGCTCTTAAACAATCGAGAAGAATGGATTCCACCAGAAATAATTTTTGTAGCGGTCTCGGCGCAATCATCACCAATATCCGATCCAAGATGGCAACGCCGACGCCGACGCCGACGCGAGGGGAGAATGATGGCAGCTACCCCCCACCCACGTGCCCTTCGTGTGGCAAAGCGTATCCTTGCAGTTGCAGATAAATTCAAGTCGGGCAAATTCAGAAGTCATTTTGTTGTACTCCGAATTTTGAGTAATTTTACTAAAGAACAGGAAACCTTACCCATAACTTTGTTACTAAATAGGTCAAAATTGTGTTCAAATTAATTCTAAATAAATTTATATAAACAAACGAAGCGCATGCAAATATGCTGTGTAATTGTGCACGCTGACCAACAACGCGCATTGAAGCGGTCAACGGTGTTTTTTCTTGCAAAAGTGTGTGATAAAGTAAATGAAATTCATGATAATTTTGAAAAAGTTGATCCTTAAAACAAAAAGGCATACATATGAAAGCCAAATATGTACATATGTATTAATTTAGGTACATTTTGGAATTTTTCCAAAATATTTGAGGTCGAAGTGGAAAATATTTCCTATTTTATAGGTCAAATTCCACAGCTTCAGAAAAATCGTCTTCATTTACGATTCTGCTTTTAAAATAATATTGCACAAGTCCTACGAATGAAAGCTAAATATATTTAATATAAGTAATTAGTGATACAACGTGTTGCTCATATGATTTACAAATATTTCTACTCTCACCATTAGCAAGTGTAATTTATTTTCTAGCGAAATTCAAATTAATATTTCATTCAATGCGAATATTTAAGTTTCGTATGATTAAATCGCTCCTTTTCTCTAGTTGCATACACAACTCTTCCTTTATTCCATATTATTACTTGCGACGTATGAATGACATTGTGCAAAGATGTAAATTTGCTGTTAGAGTAATGAATTCTTAATTAAATATTTAATTAATTAGCAACCAGCACCCAAAAACATGAAACAAAGTATCTAGAAATTAAATCAGATTCAGAGCGTCGGGTCAAAATATAAGGTTCATAAGTTCGCATTGTTCAACACTATTTAATTCTTGTTATTACAGAATTTTATTGCTATTGCATTAATTTGTAGTTTATGCTTAAATGTAGATTTAGACCGAAGTATGAAATTAAACCATTGCAGTTTAAGCATTTGCCTTGAATTATTTGCATAATTTAATTACTGAGAGAGGAAACGGACGGCATTTATAAAACCACCCCCACCCCCACCCAAATCCACCCCCACCCCCATCAAATCCACCCCCACCCCCATCAAATCCACCCCCACCCCCCCCCCACCCTAGGTTAGCTAGCAGAGCTACCTAGGTTAGCTAGCTAGAATTTCTACCCAGGTTCTATCTAGCCTAGCTACCTAGGTTCTATCTAGCCTAGCTACCTAGGTTCTATCTAGCCTAGCTACCTAGGTTCTATCTAGCCTAGCTACCTAGGTTCTATCTAGCCTAGCTACCTAGGTTCTATCTAGCCTAGCTACCTAGGTTCTATCTAGGTGGATGGGGGTGGGGGTGGGGGTGGATAGGGGTGGGGGTGGATTTGATGAGGGTGGGGGTGGATTTAGGTGGGGGTGGGGGTGGTTTTATAAATGCCGGGAAACGGAGTCCATCTATCTTTTACGCAAAAAAAAACGTGCTAAAATGTTACTAGCGATATTTTCCCTCTTCTTATTTCCTGATTTTGTGCACTCAAAAAATAAAAGTTATAATTTTACCTCGTTTTGCATATGCCCATCCACTGGAAAACAGGATAAGTCGTACTGTGGTCACGAGATTTCTACCACAAATCCGGACTGTATGACACATGCGATCTACATGTGCGTCAATGGTCCTAACAAGGTCGCCAGGGTGTGGGAATACTGCAAAAATTCTAGATGTGGTCAAGTTGGAGTCGGCAATAGGTTCACTCCTGACTGTTTAGATCCGCATGACGGAAAAAAATTCTTTAAAAGTAATTAAAAGTAGGGACAAACATTTATTGCGTAAAATTTGAGGTCAGTTACGCAAATTTATTTAAGATATCGAATCTGGAAAGGTTCCAAAATGCGAAGGCTGCTGGTTTACTAAACGCGAAGATGGCTACAAATATGCGGACAAGACGTTTTACTACGACACGAGAAGGGACAATGATACGCTGTTCCATATCTTCCGCAGGTCAGTTTTTCGCCCTTATTTTATTCTAATTTGTATCCTCATTTAATTTATATATTCCAGAACTGACAACAATGTATGGGTCAATACGACCTCCCGGCAGTAACACGTCTTTTTCATGCACCATTCCGTTACTCTTTCAATTTATTCGTCACACCATCTTCATCGCGATTGGCAATTGTATGCTATGCTTACGCAAATTTTCCCAAACCAAATTGTACAATGAAATTCCTTACGGCTCAATTTATCTTTTCCAGGGTAGAAAGATTGATAAAATGCTTCTAATGATATTTTCGCTCCTTTATCTTCTCAGACATCATAAAAATGTGCAAGATTTACATGATAGGAAATAGATTACCTAGTTTTGGGACGTATTTATGTTTCAAATTAATTTATTGCAAATATTCACAGAATTTTCACTCGACTTAAGTTTTATCTGGGTTTGCAAATTTTTGCAAAATGTTATCTTGTATTACTGTTGTATGGGATATATCCTCTCTGCCCAAAAAGTCCTGTTGTGATGTGCACGCAATCTTCCCTACTTTTTGCACTGATTCGTGTAACTTTGTCCTAGAGATGCGAAATTTGGCATGTACATGCACCAACATATTTTACATCATAATATAACATCAATTCCCTTTCTGTTCGCTATAAATTTTTCAGGAAAAATCAAAAACCAAATGTCACCCCTATACAATTTGGTTTTGATTTTTCTTGGCAGCCCCTCATAAGGGCCCTGCATTTTTAATCATTTCTCGCTCTGGGAATTTATTTTAAAACTAGCGTATAGCCCGGCCAAGGCCGGGTTCTAGAGTTCCAGTGGGGGGTGTGCCCAAAGCGAAAAATCCGTCATGCTATACTTTAAATAATTCCCAGTGGAGACTTCGTCGTACTACATACATACATCAGAGTGAGGGTTTGCCCCAGTCATACTGCATTTTAATTAACCTGGTCACAGTACAATTTGATTTCCCCCTGTGGGAGTAGTTGAATAGCTAATTACTTAAATTCCCGTCGGGTGGGAGTAACTGCATAGCTAACTATTTATATTCCCGCGCTTCACGCTCCCGTTAAGTTCCATAAACCCCGTTAACTTCTACAATTAACGCCAAGCTATTGACGGATTCGGATTCAGCGTCAAAAATACATTCGAATTGATATGCGACATCACGGATAAGCCATATTTGGCTGCCACGGTCACGGGAAGGTCACGGGGGCCTCGGAGGTCAAAACCATTAATGGCTTTGGATTCAGCGTCAAAAATACATTCGAATTGATATGCGACATCACGGATAAGCCATATTTGGCTGCCACGGTCACGGGAAGGTCACGGGGGCCTCGGAGGTCAAAACCATTAATGGCTTTGGATTCAGCGTCAAAAATACATTCGAATTGATATGCGACATCACGGATAAGCCATATTTGGCTGCCACGGTCACGGGAAGGTCACGGGGGCCTCGGAGGTCAAAACCATTAATGGCTTTGGATTCAGCGTCAAAAATACATTCGAATTGATATGCCACTCGCTGTAGGTGGAGTTTCTCAAACTAAAATAATTAATTAATAGTGTTTATCACGATCACTTATCATGATAACCACTATTGATGAGTAATGATGGTTGGTTGATCAGTTGATGTATGTATGGGGTAGCAGTTCATGCATTCATGCATGCAGTGTTTGCTCCGCTTCCATCTTTGTCTCCTCTACGGGGCGACTTGCATTGACTTACGGACCGACCCAGAACTTAACACTGTCATTTTATGGTAGTGATTCTGGACGACAAATTTGTAGAGCAGGGAGTTCCCAATTTTTAAAAATATACATACACTCCAGATTTAAGCCCCCTTTTACAAAGAGAAGATCCCAAGTTCCTTAAAATAATAAGATAAATCTTAAATTTCGGAAATTTTGGTACAAAAAATTCAAAAGTCGGAAAAAACCATTAATTACATAAATTTAAATTCTGCTTTTCATCATTTTATTATTCCATTTTGTCCTTGAATCTACATAATTTCGACGGAAAATTAATTTTCGGAAATTTTTGGTCGCAAGTATTTCAAATTTGTGAGGATTTCAAAATTTAATTTTTAGCCTCTTCGACAACACGGCTCCGGTCGGATAGCGGTTCCGGAAGTCAAATTTCGCCAGCGACACGTTTCCCAAGGCGGGCGCCTCCCTCTCAAAAAAATCGTGGCTAGTCTCGTTTATCTCCAGATCGTCCGGGCTGGTCTGCGTGAACTGTAATAAAATAATACTGTTATAGAGAGTATACCTGTTCACCTTCATTCATTTGACTGATTAGGATACTGAATGAAAATGAATTTCTAGTTATTTTAATGAAAATGAATGAAGGATCCCGTCATTTCTGATGAATGACTGTGAATGAAATGATTTTTCACCCAATGCTTAATACATGGGGCGAACTTAGAAACGAAGTCGGACGAAGTGAAGTGAAATGAATTTGAAAGAAAATGACTAAATGTAAATGAAAATGTTCAGTCAGAAATCGATGACTGACTTTTGAATGAAAACTAAATTTTTGAACAGGTATGACAACAAGAAGAAGTCACCAACCCAAAACACGTAAAGTTTCCCAAAAAAAACAACCTGTTCGATTCTTGGGAACAAAGTCAAGGGTCAAGACTACATAATTGGTGTCATTTTCAAGGAAATTTAAATCGCTTTGGTGCCGATTGATACGATTTACGTATTCATGTTTGAAATTGGGGATCGTGTTTTTCTAAAATTTCCAAAAAAGAAACTGACCTTTCCGAAACCGCTCAGCTTGAAGGACTGGAGCCGAGTTCCGACCACAATAACGGCGGGAAAGAGAACCTTGTCGTTCCAGCGGTCATACCAATCATTCCATTGGTTGCTATTTTTGGCGGGTGGGTGCAGGTCCAGGGTCAAGTGGCGGATGCCTAATACAAAATTTAAAAAATCTGGTAAAAATTCATGGTGGAGAAATTTCGAAAAAAATTATGAAAAATTCGAAGAATTGAGAATAAAAATACGAAATGAAAATTTCGAATGAAAGTATCAGTGAGAAATTATGAAATTAAATTATGAATGGGAAATTGCAAATGCGAAGTTATGAATAAATGTGAAATTGGGAATAAATGCAAATAAAATTATGGATGGCAAATTTCAAATAAAATTATGAATTGCGAATGCGAAATTACGAAATGAATTACGTACGATTCATAAAATTAATTCTGGAAAATGCGACGAGGATTTCTGAACAGCGAAACGACGCTTTTGACACAGCCACCTCCTTCAAATTTGCCCACTTTTCAGCCACTCGGAAAATTTGGTTCAATTGAATCGGCCGGGTCGCATCGCTAGAAATAAAATAAATAACAAATCAGAACAAATCATACCTGTTCACTTCATTCATTTGACTGATTATGATAGTGAATGAAAATGAAGTTCAATGGAAATGAGTGAAAGTTTCCGTCATTTCAGATGAGTGACTGTGAATGTGAATTTCTCACTCCATTCATTTTTCACCCTATGCTTAATACATGGGGCGAAGTAAGATATGAAGTCAGATCAAGTCAGATGAAATGAAATGAAATGAGTTTGAACGAAAATGAGTGAGCGTGAATGAAAATCTTCAGTCAGAAATCGGGATGAATGAACTTTGAATTGGCAGATGACGATTGTTACACTCACCCTGCAAAATATCCGGGCCAAATTGTCAAATACAGTATGTAACAAATTTATTGATATGTTTACGGTTTAAAAAAAATCTTGCCCTTGATCCTCGACACTTGCGATGGAACTTGCTTCCATTTTGTACTAATTAAATGAACGTAAACAGATGTATAAGCGCGACATGATTTCTAATTTTCGGCTTGATTTTTTGATATAACTCGCTTGGTACAGTTTCAAAAAAGGTTCCATTTCAAGTACTCGGGATCACATCAAGATTTTGAAAACACGTAAACATCCCATTATATTTGCTACATACGATAAATCGCCAAATTTTCCACGTCCGGACACAATTTGGTTAAATTACTGAAAGGTTTCGATTGTTCGAAGATGTCGACGGGTTCCTCTTCAAGTTGAAAAGCTTTGGTGTTGTAGACCACCAAGTTCGTCACGTTGTAGTTGACGGCACACTCGACCGGATTGAAGAGGTTCCGGTTGGCGAGGACGCGCTAAAAATAGTTAATTAATTAACTAACTAATTATTAAATTTTCCAAATTTTAACATAAATTTAGAGGATCCCAGAAATATATTTTTTAATCCCGGCTGACTAAAATTTTCATAATTGATTAATTGCTCACGACGAATTCTTCATCTTCATCCCATCCTCCATGAAGGCGGAGGTCTGGCCGGAATTCGAGGAGGAGCGTGGTGATGTCCGGAAATCGGTTCAGGAAACGGTGGATAGGACGATTCCCGAGCAGAGTTAGGCGTTCCTGGCACAAGTAGAGATGGATACTGGTCACCTGTAAGAAGAGATTCCGAGCCATCATTTCCGGTCGGAAATATATATTTTATTTGTAAATATACTTGAGGGTAGATTATGCTGTAGGAAATCTTCTGAGACTCGGGAACGGTGGAGACACCTTGCAGCATGGACAGCTTGACGGACTTGAGGCTGAAAGAAAATTGGAAACCTTAAATGAGATCAGTCTTGAGTAAAAATTGCAACATTTTCAAGTAAAAATTGCAACGGTTTTAAGTAAAAATTGCAACATTTTTGAGTAGAAAAGGGACAGTTTTGGAGTAAAAATGAGATCATCTTCCAGCAAAAATAAGATCATTTATGAGGAAATACTGGATCATTTTCGAGCAAAAATTGGATAATCAGAGAAGATTTTCGAGTAGATATTGCAACATTTTCGAGTAAAAACTAGATTATTTTCAAATAAAAATAGCATTTTACACGTAAATATTTACATATTCAAAATTTGCATAAGTACTTTTTCATTTCCACATTGGGCACGAGGTCCCAATCTTCCAAACTTAACGATTTAATCTGGTTGACCCCCCCGCCAAACTCGTTGACCGCTTCCTGAAACCCCTCCCAATCCTCCAAAAGTTCGGCGGGAGTGCGCGTGTCCTCGTGGGGCGCGAGGAAGCTGAGCTCCCTCAGATTCGGGGAGGACACGATGACTGCCGCGAGATGGCGCGGGTGGCACATCTGCACTACCAACGTGGTCAGCTTTAATGGGCGCAGATTCACCGCGAGCGCGGCCGCAGGTCTGATCGGCGTCCACTGCAAGGATTGACTAAATGCGGCAACCTATCCAGAAAAAAATTATCAGGGTAAAAAATCCCGTGCGATTTATTTCGTTGCAAACTAATTAGCGCCAGAGTTCCGGGTGGAAGTAATCACTTGGAGGAAATAATGGCACGAGAGTGGTTTTTTGCAAGTACCTATTTTGACCTGCAAGAAATGTAAGGGGGGAAACCGCTGCTGGATTTCGTACAGCGCGTGGTTAAAAGATGGCACATATTTCTTGCACTTTCTTGCAGGGTTTTGTACCTCCCATTTCTCGCGTTTCTAACTTCGCATTGAAAACCCCGCAAAAAAAACGAAACACAAACCTCTTGTGTTTGTCCGATTTTCGCTTTGTACGGCAAAAAGGCCAAATCTGTCAGATTTTGACACGTTTCCAGAATCATCTTGACCTCGTCAAACATCTCCGCGTCGTTTTCTCGCCGTTCCGATCTGAAAAACTCGACGCCCTTCACGTACTCGCCGTTCTGCTTAAGAAACGCTTGAACCCTCGGCGTGGCCCCGGGGTCCGCGGACTTGCTTCGGATGCAGGACGTCGAAACGGCGATCGCGCTGGGGAGCAGATAGCGCGGCGAGGATGTCCGCGCGAGAAGCGCGTCGAGCCGGTCGATCCTCCGGAGTGCATCGCCTTCTTCCTCGAGTCGGAGGTAGGCTCGGGCGTTCCCGCCATCCCGCCGCGACAAGATGACGCCACCGGCTGACGCCCAGGTCGAGCAGACGAGGCGAAAGGTCATGACCTCGGGGTTGCCGAAATGCGAGAGGAGACACGTGGCGACGAGGTAGTTGGTCGCGAGAGGATTTGCTTCCTCCATGACGTGGAACGTCTCGAAGTCCTCTGTGCATACCTGTTCAAAAAAAAATTTTTCATTCAATGTTCAGTCACTAATTTCTGACTGAAGATTTCCATTCACATTCATTCATTTTCTTCCAAACTCATTTCATTTAACTTCATCTGACTTCATTTCTTACTTCGCCCCATGTATTAAGAAGAATAGGGTGAAAAATGAAATGAGTGAAAAATCTTTTCATTCAGTCATTCGTCTGAAATGACGAAATCCTTCAGTCATTTTCATTTAAAATGAGAGGGAAATTCATTTTCATTCAGTTTCATTCTCTATCATCGTCTGTCAAATGAATGGAAGTGAACATGCCTCTGTGGGGTTGTTGACCTTGGTAGGGTCATTGACCTCCATGACCTCGTTGGCCCCCCCATCAGCAGCGGGCGCGTCGCTGTCTCGTTGTCCGTGCGGGCGGAGGTCTTTATTCGGAGATGAAATGGCATGTCCCATTTTTCTAAAAGTTGAACTTTTTTGGAAACTTTGTGCGTGGTTTGGTTGGGTGATGGGAGTTCTTTTAACTTTGCAATGATTGATGAAATTTTTAAAATTTTTGAAACTTTTTTCATCTTTTCGAATTTTGTTTGGAGAATTTTGTCTCGAGGGGAACCAGGAATATAATTTTGTATGACTTCCAGAGAATTTGGCACTTTGGTAATTTGGGGGTTCCCCATGTCGACCCCGTTGGCTGGGATGATCCCATTTTTTGCAAGTTCTTTAAAGACGAATTTCGTGGCCAGATTTGCATAATCCTTTTGTCTATTTTTTTGGCAAAGTATGGAACTACTCGAAACTGGCTTAAAAAAAACTCGGTGTTATTTTATTAATCAACGTTGAAAATTCTGGAGGAAAAAAAATTGTCGTCCAGAATTTTAAAATAAGTTCCCAATGCGGAGAAATGTTAACAAATGTGTGGATCTTGACAATATTGGTGAGAATCATGAGTGGATGACTCGCCACCAAAATCCATTTTTAATCATTTCTCCCCTCTGGGAATTTATTTTAAAATTCTGAACGACAAATTTGTCGAGCAGGGACAAAGTTACCATTTTTTTTCTTAGTGAGGCAAATACCTAATTAAATATACACTCCAGATTTTGATACTTTTTGAAAAAGGAGATCTCAAGTTTCCAATAATAATAAGTAATTCAACTATGGTGCAACTGGTGCTCAACAATCATACCCAATCTGAATAATAATTTGCGGAAATTTTGTTACAAATAAAATCTGAGGGGTGAAAATCTCATTTTGATTTCTGCGTTCGTTTTATTATTCATTCCATTCAGGTCAATTACGTACATAATCCATCATATTTCGAAGTCGAATAAAATTAGTTTTATTGTCAGCTTCAGGAAAATCGTCTTCCGTTATGATTCCGCTTTTAAAATAATACTGTATAAGTCCTACATAAATACAGAATCCTCTTAAGAATGAAACTTAAATAAATTCGGCCTGCTTAATCAGTCAATTACGTAAAATTAGTGATCTCGCGTGTTTTAAATATTGTTCTTATTTAAGCGTATTAAATACACTTTTTATTTTCAGGTGAAATTTAAATAAATAAATTTCATGCGAATATTTAAGTTGTGTATGATTAAATGGTTCACTTTCTCCAGCAGCATTTTGTGCATACACAACTCATCCTTTGTTCCATATTTGTTATTTTCAAATATTTAAATTTGAGGTTAAATTAATGAAATAATTATTCATTTAATTAGCAGTCAAGCAAGAAACAAAGTATCGAAAAATTGAACCAGATTCAGAGGTCCATAATTTTGCATTGTTCAACACTATTTAATTCTTGCTATTACTGAATTTTATCGCTATTACATTAATTTGTAGTTTATGCTTAAATATAAATTTAGAATGAAGTATGAAATTAAACCATTCCAGTTGAAGCATTTGCCTTGAATTATTTGCATAATTTAATTACTGAGAGAGGAAACGGGATCGATTTCTCTTTTGGAAATATTGATAAAATGTTCCTAACGATATTTTCTCTCTTCTTATTTCCTGACTTTGTGCACTCAGAAAATAGGAGTTTCAATTTTACCTCGTTCTGCATCTGTCCCTCGTTTGGAATGCAAAATAAGTACTACTGTGGTCACGAGATTTCAACGACAAATCCAGACTGTATGACGCACGCACTCTACGAGTGCATCAACGGCCCCAACAAGGTCACCAGAGCGTGGAAAAATTGTTCAAATTCGCGATGTGGCAAAATTTCAGTCGGAAATCGACTCAGTTCAAATTGCTTAGATTTGAATAAGGAAGATTTGTTTAAAGGTAAATAAAAGTAATAATGACCTAGCTTTATTGAGTAAATTCATTTGAGGCGAATCACTAAAATTTATTGAAGAAATCAACTCCGGAAACATTCCTAAATGCGAAGGCTGCTGGTTTACTAAACGCAAAGATGGCTACAAATATGCGGACAAGACGTTTTACTACGATACGAGAAAGAACAATGATACACTCTTCCATATCTTCCGCAGGTCAGTTTCTCTGTACCCTTATAACTTTCAGTCTGACCGTAATTTTATTCCCGTTTGTGTTTTTATTCAATATTTATGTTCCAGGACCGCCAACAACGAATGGGTCAATACGACCTTCCGGCAGTAACCCATCATTTTCATGCACTATTTCGGCTAATCTTTTATTTTTTTCGGCAAAGTGTTTAATTAAATTTCCTAATTGAATTAATAAATAACTTGACATTCATGAATTCAACAAAATTATAGCCAACATTCACATCCGCAGTTGACAGTATATTAAATAACAATTCATTGTTGTTCAAAATCGGTAATGACGTTAGTCTTGCATTCAACCAAATTTTATTGTTGCATTACCGATATAATCATACGCAGCTCATCCTTGGTTCCAGTGTATTACTTATGTACGACGTATGACATTGGGCAAAGATGTGAACTATCTGTTAGAGTAATGAATTCTTAATTATTAAGAACTAATTATTCATAATTCCATGAATGCTTATATAAAATTATAATTTTGCATTGTTTCATTCTTTTCACCCTGTTTTTTATTACATTTATACAGTTCATGGAAAAACGTAAATTGAAACATAAAAATACATCAGCACACTTCGATCATTCCTTCCTTTGAATATCTTTATAATTTGTCCAGTTAGATTTATTTTTTACAGTTGAATAGCAATATTATTGAAATGTATCAAATATTATTTTCTCTCTTCTTATTTTCTGACTTTGTATATTCAGAAAACAAGAGTCATAATTTTACTTCGTAATGCATCTGTCACTCCTCCGGAATAAAAACCGAAGTGTACTGTGGCCATGAAATTTCAAAAGATAGCCCTGACTGCATGACACACGCAATTTATAAATGCCTCAATGGTGCAAATATGGTCACCAGAGTGCTGAGATATTGCGAAAATTCGCGATGTGCCAGAGTTGAAATTGGAAATGGATTCACTGCCGGTTGCATAGACCCGTATAAGACAAAATTTTTCAAGGGTAATTGAAAATTGTGTAGATTACTTAAATCAAATGGTCTCAACTGTGCCATTTTTTAGGAATCGAAACCGGAACGATTCCTAAATGTGAAGGCTGTTGGTTCCTTAAACGCGAAGATGGATACAAATATGCGGACAAAACATTTTACTACGATGCCAGGAATAACTCTGAACCTTTCTTCTATACCTTTCGCAGGTGAGTTTCTTCCCAGTTTCATCTTCGATTTTCACTTTCTTTGATTTCATTCTCATTTAATCCAGAACTGATAACAACGAATGGGTGAATACCACACTTCGTCAGTAACCCACTGACAACGAGCCATCATTTTCAGGCACTATATCCGCTGAGCTTTCAATTTATTCTCCATACCATCTTCCTCGTGATCGTAATTGTATGTTTTGTTTTCCTAAGGGAAATTGTTCAATACCATTTCCTTACATGCGTTAATAAATAACTTGATATTTATTTGTAAAAATTTGATGCTAAAATAGTTGAGTAACAACGCATTGCTACTCAAAATGGCTAATAAATGCATGACGCAAGCCTTGCATTCAATAGTTACAAATTGTATTGGCAGCCTCAAGAAAATCGTCTTCCATTTCGATGTAGCTTTTAAAATACAAATCTTGTGTTTTAAAAATGAAAGCTAAATATAATATGATTAATTAGTCAATTAAGTATTATTGATGGAATGTGTTGCTCATATGATTTTAAAATATTTCTCTTCTCTCGACTGGTAAAAGTAAATCAAAGTAAATTGAAATTTGAATCAATTCCACGTTTAACAAATTAATGAATGATGCATGTACTAAATTGATCAAAAAGTACATACATGATGGCTAAACAGCTCGCTTTCTCCAGCCGCATATCATGCATACACAACTTTCCCTTTGTCCCATAATTACTTACGATGTATAACATTGTGCTTGTGAATTTGTTTGCAGCTTATTTTCATAAATATTTATTTAGCTAGCACTTGTCACCCGAAGACAAGAAACAGATATACCTAGTACCCGCTAAAGTTCTGTTATAAGATTTCCCGGGTAAATTAAGCAGGCAAACCAATCTTTTAGGAAGTTGTACTATTTTTTATTGAAATCTCCATGCAATTGTCCGTCAGAAACCATGTTTCGAAAATTTTTGTGACCCAAGGTGCCAAAATGATAGATCAGCGAACTTGGCCTGTTTCAATTTTTCAGCAACATTTTAGTGAACATAAAAAATCGACATTTTTAAATTGTTCAATAAAAATCGGAATTGATTGGTCGACCGTACCATAAAATGATGCAGTGACACTGGCAACCGCAAAAGGAGTGGAAGGAACCGGCCAAAAAGGTCACCAAAATTCACCAAGGCGCGAAAAAACTGGATTCGCCAAAATCCATGCCGAGCCCTAAGAAAATTTCCCTCGCAAATGAATGGATCAAGTAAAACCGTGTCCCGGGCCCATAATCTGGACCTTGGACCTATGTCTTCAAGACATGAGGAGAAGCACTTCCTAACTACACGCCAAGTAAAAACAGACCCATCAGAACCCGGGCGCTGATCATGCGGTACGCGTTTGAAAAATAGAAACGGATATTTTCAACAAATGAGCCAAACTTTATGGCTGAGGCCAAATAAAATAGCAAAAATACCGTTTCAACACCCCACCAGTCTAGACTATTCGTAAAAATTTCAAAAATTTTCATCGTACCTACCATCCGGGTTTTACGATTTTTTTGTTGGACATAACTTGGACTGGGTCGAAAAAGTGAATTTTCTTTCTCTGGGGCTGAAATTTGGTATCAAAAATTATTTTTTTTAGTTTTCAAGAAGTGTGACACCCGTGAACCACAACCTGTCCAAAAACAGCGAAATAACATACAAGCACGGCTCAGGTCCTGCTCATGTGGCATGATGGAAATTTTTAGGTTAAAATCCCAAATTCCTGACTCCATTTCGGATTAAGGAAAAAATTCA